TTTTTCACCCCAACAACTTTTTTTTCCCCGCTTTTTTCCCCTGCTTTTTTTTCCATTTTTCCCCCCTTTTTTGCCCTTTTTCCTTCTCCCATTTCCCCCTCTTTTTTTTTACTTGCCCCCCTCCCCCATTCTTTTTCTTTCTCGGTGCTTCCATGACCTACCTCTCTCCCCCAGGTCAGGCCGGCTTCCCCGTCTACAAGTACGTGCCCTACGGCCCCGTGAACGAGGTGCTGCCCTACCTGTCCCGGCGAGCCCAGGAGAACAGGGGCTTCATGCAGAGGGCGAACCGGGAGCGGGAGCTTCTCTGGACGGAGGTCAAGAGGCGGCTCCTCGCCGGCAGCCTCTTCGGCCCGAGCCACTGACCCCGGCGGTGCCATCCGGCCCGGGGTCTCCTGTGCCTTCACCTATAACCACTGTTGCCGTTCCCCGCCTTAGTTCTGCTGCAGTTTCCCCCCCAGCAGCCCTTGCCCTGGGAGGGGAAGTGTCCTTCTTGCTGTTGGAGCCGCACAGACCTTCTGGAGGGGCCAGCGGAGGGTCGCCCTGCTGGCCCTGCTCTGAGGGACGTCCCTCTGCCCCCCGCCGGGGCTCCTGAGCTGTGCTTGCCCGGGGCTGTCTCTGGGGAGATGCTGGGGCTCCCCTGCCAGCCTTCCCTCACCTCTGCGAACGCTGTCCCGGGGTTTTCCCCTTGCAGGATTGCACGGACGTTTGGCTGCCTGCTTCGTGCTGTAGGCTCGGGTCCAGGGCAGGCGGGGCAGCTCGGGGACAAGCTGGCCTCAGCCAAAAGCACCTCCAGCCTCTGCCAGGGCTGGGGGTCGCTGGGCAGGTCCTGGGCAGGGCCAGGCTCTCCCCTGTCCCACTGGCCTGAGCAGACCCCAAGCTGCCCAGGGTTGTCCGGTGGGGCGAGAGGAGCTGGGCAGCCCCAGCCCCATCCCATGCTGTCCCTGCCCTGCCCGTGGTCCCTGGCTCCAGCGTTGGAGAAGGGCTGCCAGGGGCAGGGGTGGTGGCCAGATCGGGAGCACCGGGAGCCAGACCACAGCTCAGCTCTGCCACACACTGGATTTGCAGAGAATGGTGATGATTAAATCGTAACTGTTCTTGCTCCTGTCTCTCCTGGAGTTACTGGGCAGCTGTCTGTTCCCAGGCTCTGCTTCACTGCCCCAGTCCCAAAGAGGGGGTCAAGTGCCTGCTCTCAGCCCCTTCCAGCTGCACGCTTTGGCCTGAGCCCCGGCCAGGAGCCAGGGACGGGCTGCACCCAGCGAGGCCAAACTTCCCCGGGCCTGGGAAGGGGGAGGCTCTGGGGCTGTCCCTGATGGGCTGGGGGGCAGCTGGGAGCCCTGGAGCATCCTTAACTGCCCCCAGCACACTGCTGCTTGGGGGGGGGGAGCATCTTCCCACCCTGAGATCTGCTTTGGGCGGGACATGTGCAGGCTTTCACTGCCTCAAATGAGGGGCATTTTCTCCTGGGCTCGTTTGGGGCTCTGCAGGACCACAAGCATCTCTGGGCTTCCCTGCCTGGCAGCTGTAAGGCAGCATCTCCCTTTGCCCTGGGTTGTTCTCTCCACTTCTGCCAAGCCACCCAAGCTAAAGGGGTCAAGTTTAGGCTTTCCAGAGATGTTCACCTACTGCCTCTTTCTCTAGCTGAGGCTCTAGCCTTAGAAAAACAGGGAGCGTGGCTGGAGCATGGGGACATGGCTGTGGGAATTTAAAAGTGGTGCCGGAGCAGGCAGCAGCCGGGCTCCTGGTATTTTGGGGAGGAGAGGGGACGCGCTCCCGGCACGGGGCTGCCTCTCCTGCCCTGCAGGAT